GTTTTGGATTTCTAATTTAAGCACTTAAACAAAACATATGGTACCGATGTCCCATTGGTTTTGATGAACTCTTTCAACACAGATGAAGACACAGAGAAAATTCTCAAAAAATACAGTCAGGTGAAAGTCAAAATCTTCACCTTCAACCAGAGCAGGTGGGTGGTTCCATCCCCTTCTGAAGATCTTGGTTCATTCATCTAATTGTGAAATTGTCAAACGTCATGACTTTAATTTTTTAATTATATCATTTTTCTTCATAGGTATCCACGAATCAGCAGAGAGTCTTTGTTACCAGTAGCAACAAATTTTAATGTTGATAATCTAGAGAGGTAAGTTATTTTTGTTTTTCATTTTATAAATAAATAACAATGTCTTCATTATCTTTATTTATAATGGAATATGGAGATAACAAACAGTTTTCAACCTCAAAGCCTATTTATTAATCAACAACACAAGCAAAAACATCAAAGTCAATTTATTAGTTATCTTTGTTGGTCAACACAAATAAAAGTGGACGAGAGGCAAATTTAGTGATTGTCTTTAAAATGGATATTTCATTTTTAGTGAGATGTAAAATTTTAGCGATTTTAAAAAGCTCACAATTAACTTAATTTTTGCCATGCTTATATATTCTGATAATGCCTGTTATATATTCTGTGTAACATAGTGCCATGTATATATTAATTCTGTGTCTATGTATTTGTAGCTGGTAACGTAGTGCCATACTTATATCTTCTTAATTCTGTGTCTATGTATATATTTGTAGCTGGTACCCGCCTGGTCACGGTGATGTTTACCAGAGCTTGGCCAACTCTAACCTTTTGGACCAGTTTATCAAAGATGGCAAGAAATACCTGTTCATGTCCAACATTGACAACCTGGGGGCAACTGTAGACCTTAGTATCCTTACATAAAGTATCAAATTACCTAACATGCATGTCTGTAAGTGTAAGCAAGAAGAGTTTGGAAAAAATCATTAATACTTTAAATTTTTGAAGTAATGACAAAGTTAACTTTTCAATTTATATGAAAAGGGTTAGAAAATGATCTGAATCAACTTTATAAAGGGAATATGGCTTTAATCTGTCAGTTTAATATTCTTTTATTTGATAAATACTTATTTGTGGATGATTTATCTATTGACCAAGAGAAAGGGCACAGAGTCTAATTTCACAGTTACCACGGTTATGATTCCTGACCAGTTTTTTCAGATATTTTAAATTTTCTGTTGAATCCCAACTCAGGACCAGCGCCAGAATTTGTAATGGAAGTCACAGATAAAACAAGGGCTGATGTTAAGGTACGAAAAAATTTAAACAAGGTCAGTGTGTAAAGTCCAAAATTGCTCTTTGCTTAAGAGGTGCTTTAAGAGCTCGCAATGACTTCGCAACGCTCACTGCGCTGGCTATAATTTATGCTTATATGTTCATTTAATACTCAATATAATATTTTCATATTTGTTATTCAAATGTAATTTTTTTTTCCCATTTCCTATGCACTGTTTGTTTCTATCTTGCAGGGTGGTACTCTGGTGGAATATGAAGGAAAACTTCGTCTTCTAGAAATCGCTCAAGTCCCCAAAGACCACGTAAGTATGCTGATCTCCCTATATAAACACAAGAAAACTCTGACTTCTGAAAATCACTCAAGTCCCTAAAGACCACGTAAATATTATACTGATGATCTCCCTGTTCAAACAATATTGTTATTGCCTGAGCCAGTGTACAGGCTGTTTTAACATTATCAGCTCAGATTCCAGAGAACACTAAACCAACTTTTATTTGCGACGACTTTATTTCACGATTTACCAGAAGTAAACTAGTTCGCTACGATAAATTTTCGCGATGAAGCCTGTTTTGGAACTGATTTTAATTGAAAAAGAGACTTTAAGGACCAGTTCACGTCGAGAAAAATTGGCGATGACGGGGCTCTCGCGAACCTCGCAAAAATTTCTCGCACCCGAATAAAAGTTGGTTTACAGTAACTGTAAACCAGCTATTATTCATGTTATCCTTTATTCATGATTCACAATGAAATCAGTCAGCGTCAATTACTATTACCGACTGAGGAAACATTTCTTAGAAATACAAAGCAAAATACAGGTAATCGGTTTGCGGCCAATAATAATCATGAATTAAAGTAGATAGCAAAAATCATGGATATTTTTCACATGCAAATAAAAGTTGGTCTGCAGTGGTTTGACAAAAACTGAAAAAACTTTTTAAATTAACAGTGGTACAATGATCAAATGTCCATGATTGGAAAATATTTCTTTGAGGGGTTTGGATTACATTGATGAAGAATCATGATGCTGTATAGCTTGAAAATAATTAATTTTGTGGGGTATGGAATGGATCCAAGCATCTCTTAGTAGCATCAAAACAAGGAAAATCAAACCCCATGAAAATGAGTGATTTTCACAGTATTTTTATCATATTTTCATGAATTTTGATTTTATTTTTAGGTGGATGAATTTAAAAGTGTCAGCAAATTTAAGTAAGTTTTCATTAAAATTAAGTATAATTTATCTGTAAATTTCAGTAAACTACTAAATTTAAGCAAGATGTCAGTTAATTTAAGTTATTTGCTATTTATCGACAATTCATACTAGATCTTAAGAATTTGAATCAATTTGATAATAGAATTTAAAGCTAATATAAATGAGTTTAATAATAAATATTATAATTTTTATGACAGAATATTCAACACTAACAATTTATGGATAAGTCTTGATGCCATAAAGCGAGTGGTGGAGGATAATACGTTACATATGGAGATTATAGTCAACCCCAAGGTGAGATCGTTTACGTACTGTAGAAGTACTTTTTTTCATGGTTTCATAATTCCGTAGAATCTCTATTTCTGTTCAATCTGCTAGCAGAATACATAATATCGCGATTACCTCGCAGTTATCTAACTTACTACCACTCGTTTGCGGGGGAGTTGAGAAAGCTCAAATCTCACGAGATTACTGGGGCATATGGCATTGTTTACAGTAGTGACATTTGAATGATTTTAGCAATTTTATGCCGAAAGTATAATGTATTGCCAAGAATTGAATTCCAAATAGTAGATTGTCAAATAAGGAAAGTTTAGATTATTTTATCAGCTTTAAAATACGATGATTTTCAATGAAAATTTAATGAGAAGAGCCCGCTTGGTTAAAAATATCTTTAAAAATGTAACATTTTAGGATTAGCTCCTTTCAAAAATTAATTAGGCTGTTTCAGCGATTGCTTAGCAAGGTGTCCCACCAGGATATTTTACTTATCTGTCCTTATAAATTCTACAATGATCGATCTTGCATTGTATTCAACAGCACATTTGTCCCCAGCCAACAGATGTTTCCTACCTCCATCGCGAAAGAGTTCCGCTAAGTTAAGTAATCGCGATATCAAGTATTACTTGGATATCTTAAGACTCTCCTTATATGCCTTATATTTGTATTTTAAAGATTTATGGGGCAAAATTTTAGCGGAAAATTTGTGTCAGTGTACAAAGCGTTAAATAATATCATGCAGAAAATAGTACATTGTACTTCTACAGTATATTATACTTCCATGAAAATTGGTTGAAACTAAATCGTTGAGAAACATTTGTTATAAATCACTCTTGCCTGCTGAATCATTTGAATAATGAAGCCACGCACTGGAGGGCTTGGCTTCATTAAGATATCATATAAGCAGAATTTTCAGTGAGGGTTTAATTTTGGCATTATTAGTGAGGGTGCCAAGATCGATAAAATTGAATATCGCTAAAATTTTATTGTGCTTTATTTGTTAAAACTTCTTTAATGAGCTTTTCAAAATCATTAGAATTAGATCTTGCTGAAAAAAAAACAATTTTTACTGACAATCCCTAAATTTGCGTCTCGCTAAAATAATTTCCACTTATACAGTATGTCAGTTTTTGATTTTGAGGAACACTTTTACCAAGGTTATGTAAATGGAAATTTTTAAGAAGTACTTTCACATTACTTCTCCTTTTACAGTATAAGTCAAATTTCAATGGTTACCAGAAATAGAATTTTGGTGAAATTCTTCACAATGTTACTTTTTTCCACATTTATTTGCATTTAAACTTGACTCTGAAAGTGACTTAACAGAGATAATTATCTCCTTATTGCTGCTGCATAGTTTCTAAATTATTGAATTGTGACAGTCCTCTGCATATGATGTTTAGTTTGCTCCAATGCTAACGGTAGTTCATTTTTTCCTTGCAGACTTTAGACAATGGATTGAACGTACTTCAGCTAGAGACCGCTGTAGGGGCAGCCATTAAGAGCTTTGAAGGTGCTATTGGTAAGTAATTGACGGATTGAAATACATGATACATATTGTTGTTTGAAGATCACTTCAGCCAATAGCAAAAGAGTTTTTAGCTCACCTGAGCCAAAGGCTCAAGTGAGCTTTTCTGATCAAAATTTGTCCGTTGTCTGTTGTCGTCGTTGTCGTTGTAAACTTTTTCACATTTTCATCTTCTTCTCAAGAACCACTGGGCCAATTTCAACCAAACTTGCTACAAAGTATCCTTGGGTGAAGGGGATTCAAGTTTGTTCAAATGAAAGGGCCACACCTTTTTCCAAGGGGAGATAATTAAGAATTAGAGAAAAATTAATGTCATTTTTAAAAAATCTTCTTCTCAAGAACCACTGGGCCAGAAAAGATGAAACTCATGTGGAATCATCCTCAGGTAGTGTAGATTCAAGTTTGTTCAAATCATGACCCCTTGGGCTTGGGTGGGGCCAAAATGGCCGATCAAAGTTTTACATAGGAATATATAGGAAAAATCTTCTTCTCAAGAACCACTGGGCTAGGAAAGACAAAACTCATGTGGAATCATCCTCAGGTAGTGTAGATTCAAGTTTGTTCAAATCATGACCCCTGGGGCTAGGGTGGGGCCAAAATGGCCAATCAAAGTTTTACATAGGAAAATATAGGAAAAATCTTTAAAAATCTTCTTCTCAAGAACCACTGGGCTAGGAAAGACGAAACTCATGTGGAATCATCCTCAGGTAGTGTAGATTCAAGTTTGTTCAAATCATGACCCCTGGGGCTAGGGTGGGGCCAAAATAGCCTATCAAAGTTTTACATAGGAATATATAGGAAAAATCTTTAAAAATCTTCTTCTCAAGAACTATTGAGACAGGAAAGATTAAACTCATGTGAAATTAACCTCACTGACAGGTAGTGTAGATTCAAGTTTGTCCAAATCATGACCCCCAGGGGTAGGTCGGGCCAAAATTGCCGATTAAAGTTTAACATAGGTATATATAGCGAAACCTTTTAAAATCCTCTTTTCAAGTACTTCAAATCCATGCTTAGTGATATTTATATGGAATCATTTTCAGGTAGTGTAGATTCTAGTTTGTTCAAACCATGAACCCCTGGGAGGTTAAAATTCAAGGCCCCCAGCCCCCCCCCCCCCCTAGTAAACTTTCAGTTCTGATCTGATATGTGCTTTTTCCTAGCAAATTGCTCAGGTGGGCAATGTGGCCCCTGGGCCTCTTGTTTGATTCTTTTTCTGAAGAACAACAAAGCTGTGACATGAATTTTAACTGAAACATCTTTAGGTAGGTTATAATTTTTGTTCGAACAAGACTGTTCAGATCAGGACCCCTTGAGGAAGGGTGGGGCCACAAGATAGGAGTATTAAGGAAATATAATTATGTAACTTTAAAAATCTTCTTCTTAAGAACAGTAAAACTATAATTAGTCATATTAATATAGTAGTATAGATTCAAAATTGTTTATGTTCCCCATGGATAGGGATTAGTCAAAGAAATATGGAAGCATACCCTTTTTAGCAGATTCATGTTTATTTCAAATAACGTGAGTTGGGATCACTAACTGGGGGTGGTGGTAATGGTTCAATTTCTTCTTCTTCTTTTTTTTTTTATTACAAAATTTTAATTATTTGAACTCTTCTTACATTTTCACAGTAGTCGAGTCATATTTATTTAGAAGAATTAAATAGGGATTGTAAATTTGGAACTTCAATTTTCACTCTAGGTGCGATTTAGTGTTGAAACCAATATATTATTATAAATAAAGTTCCTCAAGACTTAGGCCATTGTCACTGACATTTACCTAGAATCAGGTGTAGATACATGTAATTATGTTTTGTTTTTTTTTAAATGTTATTGATATATATATCATATCTCTTTCATACTGTTGCTTGCTTTGTACACAGGTATCAACGTCCCTCGTCGGCGATTTTTACCTGTGAAGACCACCTCTGACCTTCTGATTGTGATGAGTAACCTTTACAGTATGAAGACGGGATCCCTAGAGATGAACCCCAAACGATCCTTCCCCTCCGTACCTCTAGTCAAACTAGGCTCTCACTTCACCAAGGTAAGGTTCTAAGGTACAGTCTCAGTTGTAAATTTATGTACAGTAAAACTTGTTTAGTATGAACACGAATATTGCAAATTTACGGATATAGTGAAGTTATCTTCGCCAGGTTCACAAATTTAATGAATAAATTGTACGGATATAACTAATTACAGTTATAGCTGTTTCCAGGTCCCAGCAATTTTGTTGTAACCAAGTTTTACTGTATTTATAACTTTAAGTTACACAAAATTTTCTTTTTTACAAGCTATAGACAAGAAGTGACCCCATAGATATTCTTTTTTTTTGCAGCAGGCTTTCCTCTCTTTCTTTCTTGCAACTTACATGAGTTTTCTGGCAATCATCAAAGTTTAGTTTTCTTTTATCCATATTAGATACAGCGACTTATTTGACTTTGTAGGTGAAGGATTTCCTATACAGATTTTCTAGTATACCTGATATGCTCGAACTTGATCATCTTACAGTCTCAGGGGACGTAACTTTCGGTAGAACTGTCACACTCAAGGTATGTAGATCAATATGAGGCAGCCAGAGAATATCTAACTATATTAGGTGAAAAATAGAAACATGAAATTGTTTATATACATGTACAACAGTCATGTTCTTTTTAGCTTATCTAAGCTTTTCTGATCAGAAGATTTTGCTGTTTGTTGTCATTGTCGTCATTGACTTTTCACTATTTCATTTTCTTCTCCAGACCTACTCGTCTAATTTCAACCAAACTTGCCACAAAGTATCTTTGGGAGAAGGGTGTTCAAGTTTGTTCAAATTAAGTGCCACACCATCTTCAAGGGGGAGATAATTATAAAATAGTAAAAAATCAATGGTAATTTTTAAAACTCTTCTCAAGAACCACTGAGCCAAGAAAGATTTTTTTTTATTTACGGAAAATTTTGTAAAATTGATAGGTATACGAAGTCCTGTGATTCAGATTAGATCAAACCAAAGTTAAAGGGGATGAGAGTTTTTATTTTCTTTTTCCAACATAAAAAAGTAGATTTATGAGATAACATGTTTAAAGTAGGAAAGAGAATGGTAAGTTCCTCGATGAAAGACTGCTATTTTAGATGTCTTGACTTTATGAGATTCTGTACTTTGTAAAAACAATGTAACCCAGATGACCATTCTGACCTATGACCTTTTTGTTTACTGTAGGGTACAGTCATAATCATTGCTAATCATGGAGACAGAATCGACATTCCTTCAGGAGCCGTGTTAGAAAACAAGATTGTGTCAGGAAATCTGCGTATCCTGGACCATTAATTCATGTTGCCATAGTAACCGTGTGAGTGTTGCTGGTCACACTTGAGATAAAACAGTTTTATAGTCGCCCTGCAGCTTTGTGTGGAAATACAAGTATAAGCATTTTGAATTTTTAAAAATAACACTTTTTTGTGAAGAGGTTGAGATGCTTTATTTCCTGATACAAGATAATGTGATATTGCTTGTTGTTTTAGCAGCTTGATATTGATAGCTTGTTAGATATTAAACCGATTCTTAAATGAATGTTAAGAGTAAATTGTCATAAGGCAATTGTTGTTAGTGCTTTTGGGGTTTTGTTTTTTGTTGAAAAAAGTAGCATAATTGTTTTCTATAATGTTTTCAATGTTTTCAAATTACTCCTTTTGGATGGGAGTGTGTATTTTTATCCTTGAATTCAGTGAGATTTGATCTCATAGTTTGCTAACTGTATGCATGTTCATAATTCTGACTTTTTATGGAAAAAAAATTAAACCCAAAAAGAAAAAGAACTGACTTTGACATTATTCTACCAATTTTTCCTATCTTGTCCTAACAGTTAACATATGCCATAAGGTTTAATTGAATTAAGCTCAATGTCTGCCTCCTACAAATCACTAATGAGTAATGTCTATAGTGAAGTTAAAGTGTGAACCATAAAACCTTTCTGTATCCAGTTTTTATTTGCATATCTGTTTTGTTTGGGGTTTTTTTGACATATTTAGTATAATTTGTATCGTATAGTGTTGACCTTCCTGGGCTTACTAAGCTTTTTAAAAGTGACCTACCTGTACTGGGTAATTGTTAACAGTAGACAATCATTTAGAGATCTACATATATGACTTTATAAAGTCAGATCAGTTCTATGTTTTTGGAGAATTTCTTTCTTTTAACGCCTGTTGTTGGATTATTCTCCCTTGTTCCATAAAAGCAAAAAAACGTCAAAACCTAATTTTTAAATACTTTTTTACTTTGTAATTGAATGTTTGGTGTGCAAATATTGAGTTTCAGTGGAACACATATGTATTTTGATGATATGAATGGTTTTTTTTTTTTATTATTTGGATTTACTTCAAGTTATTTTAGAAGATATATGTACCTGAATTTGTCCCAAAACTGTGGGTTTTTTTTTTTTTTTCGTTTTTATATTTTGTTGGGAGTGAAAATCCTACCTTCTTATGTATGAAAGTAAATTTTTGAACGGTAGTTTTTTCTGTTTTCTTTCAGTTTGCAGTGAACAAATTCTGCTTAATAGTCATCATTTACAACTCAGGTCTTTTGTTCCATAAAGGATTTTTTTTTTACTGTAGGCCATAATAAAGCAAACTGCAATAAATAAATATTTACATTTCTAGTGTAAATACAGTGTATTAAATAGTAAACATTTTTTTTTTCAATATACCAATCTCTTTACACACAAGTTAAAAATTATATTTGCATTTAATGTTTGAAAATATTGATGTTACAGATTTTTTCAGGAAATACATGTACATGCATCCACTAGCTTACGAAACAGAATATACAGGCCATGAGATGCAAAGACAAAGAAAATGTTCTTAGATCAAAAAGCATTTAAATTAATGTTTAACGGACAATTTTTTTAAAGTTAAGTGTACTGAAATGTCAGAATTTTAATCAAAGGCTTAATCATTTATACAGCTTGCATTCAACTTTGATTTTTCCTCATGCCTGGAGAGTTGTGTATGTTTAACCTTAAAACATGTATTTGCTTTTTGTTAAAAATGAAAATAAAAGTTACCAAGTACAATATTAACCCTCTGTATATTCTTATTTTAAATTGAAAAGAAAGTCTTCAAATAGAAACCAATTAAACTGTAGGTTCCATGTTTGGTGACTGGATAGATAGAAGAGATCCACATAATTAAACCATTCTTACTGCCTCTACCTTGAATGAGGATTATAACACTCCTAAATGTCATAAGTAGTCTTTGTGTTAAGGTCTGAGGAGGCCATCTTATAAGCAAAAAAAATGTTTTTCCCTCACCTTTTCCTGACTTAACTAACTGGCTAAAATGGCTCAATTTGTTTAAAACATAATAGAAACGGTATTGTTTTCCTTCTGATTTTTTTTATCCCATCAACAAGAATGCTGAATTTTTAAAAGAAGAATACTAGTACCACACCTACTGATCTTCATTTTTAGCCCTGAGTTTGGCGGAGGCAAACATTTTAAAGATGGCCTGACATATGTTCTATTATTGATTGTGTCGTCTGGCCTTAATAAAGTTCCAGTTTTATTCAATGGAAAGTGATGGACATGGCATAAATATACGTTTTTTCATGCCATTGAACTTGACTGGGTCTAGGTCACGACACAATCCTAGGTCACTAGCGAAAAGAAGTTCCAATTCAGTTCCACTACAAAATATGACCTGGACCAATCGGAAGAGAGTCTTGTGTTTATAGTTTGTTGAAGTTGACGGCTGACTGTACATAGATACACATGTATTTATAAATAAATCAAAAATTTAAATGATTCAGAGAAAGCCAAACATCCTATAAAGAGCGCATTCAGGTACATAATCAGGTTAAAAATAGGTTCCTTTTGGTTCCGTTATTAAAGTACACTTAAAATACAGTCAAATAAAAAAAAGACCAAGTGTTAATATTTCTTAAAGTAACTTACAGATAAAAATGCCAGGATTGTTATCTTTAACCTTGAATATAAAATGGTGCTAAGATTTTCATATTTCACGTGTATTGAATTCATCGTGATGAGACCTTTTAATAGGTATAGATATTTTTGACCTTGCCCGTTGTTTGGCCTTCTTTAAAAAATAACCTTAGCTATAAGAACTTAAGTAGAGCTTTCTTTCACAGGTATATTCTTTTTGACAAGACCTCCCTTCTGGATACCTCCAATTGACCTTGGAGTATGACCTTCCTTTGAAAAACCTTAACCTTAGCCATAAAATGTGAATAGTTTATGGTTTACTTGTGTATTTCTAATGACAAGGTCTTCTCCTGTGTACCAATAATTTTGACAAATTGAAATTGTCTTTGGACTCACTATTAGGAAACATTAACATACACAATAACTTTTCATTGTTGATTCTTTTCCTTTTATGTTGATCAGGTAAAGCCACTGTGTGACTGACACAAGTCTTCTCTTTTTGCTACATTTTTGGTAACATTTTTATCTTTTGACCTACATGTTAGGAGTTTTACTTGTATTTTAGAAATTTAAAACATTCGACACTAAGCTGACATACGTGGACATCGGTGTTTTACAAACATATCTTGTTTTTACCTTAGAAAGTGAGCTTAATGGGCTTTCGTACTTGAGAATAATACTGTTGCGTTTACTTGCATTTTGTCACGTAATCCAATTCACAGAAATTCCAGGACCCGGAAATAAATTTCATCGATCACTTTACAAACAATGAACTGTTATCAACCTATGTCAGTCCAGCACTATTTTGTTATGTAATATCCACTGAAGATTAAATTAATATATGTTTGGTATATTTGAGAAATCAGATTCGCCATACATGTGCACATGTATCATTTTTAACAGCAATATATTGCATGGCGCATTTTTGACAAGTTCAGATAACTATGAGAGAGGTGTCCTTACACTAGAATACATGCCACTGGGGCCATGAATCTCACAGCTTTGGACGAGACATCTTTGTTTATCACATCTAATCATTCTGTATAATTAAATTTTATTATCTCATCAACACAGCCTTGCTTTAACACTACAACCCTATAATGATACGTATTTTTTGAACATATATATAGCTCACTACTTTGTGATTGTAATGACAAGGGTAACAGTTCACTGCCTTGAGTCCAGACCCTCAGATCACGAAACAGGCTTTGTCCGTTTCAATTACTTGTAAAATATATAATTATGAATTATTACAGAAATCTTTAAATTTGCCGATAGCTTAGCTAATTTCTGCAAAATATTTATATTTTTATTTCATTTTACAACATTTCTATTCACGGTTTAGCCCCCCCCCCCACTTTGAATTTGCTTCCGACGCCTACTCATTGTCGCCATTGCCTGCCGTGAAATGGGGCCTCAGATTTTTAAAATTTCTCATCTGAAAGATCCGCAACTTTCATTTCTGAGTGCCCAGTGCATGGCGGAGGAACAGTCGCAACATCTTTTTTTTTTTTTTTTTTTTTTTTTTTTTTTTTTTACAGATTCTCACAAACAGCCTGAGGTCAGCCGCGGCCTGAGATTCGAACTCATAAACTTCCTATCACGGAGAGAGAGAGCGCTATGTACATGTACCAACTGGGCTTGTAAACGGTTCAAAAAGAGGAAAAGCTTAATTACATTAAGTTTGATGGTTTTATCCTCACCCATTATGGCTGATCGATTATATATTGTTATATTTTGTCGGCAATATTTCAGCCGTTAAATGAGATCCCAATAAGAGGAAAGGATCATGAAATCCAAAATTTTTGTTCCTCTTCCTCCCACCCTGATTTGAGCAAAAATGGATTAAAATTGGTACAGAGGTTTCAGTGAAAATGCTGAAAATATTTGAATATGAACTTGCGACTGATGTCGCATGCACAACGGATGTCACAGACACGACGGCGACGCAAACTGATGGCATTAAATCTAGCTGCAGATCTGTAGCGTTATGGTTTTATATATTTGTCTTTGACCATAACGCTACAGATCCTGTAGTGCAAAAAAAGTGCAATTTACGGCGCAATATTTCTTGCGCTCTTTTGGGGAGAATTTCTCCACTTTATAGCTTTGGTCAATCAACTACCTTTCACTCCCTAATTCTAGACACATTCTGTAGCCAAATTGTATAGTTTATCCACCTCCTAACCATTTATAGTTGTTTCTACAGGCAATAAACTCGCTGGATAAGAATTTTCAGTAATCTAACAAATAATTTTAATCAAGCGAGTTTACAAAGGGTTGGGAGATGTTTAAAATATACATATTAATTAAATAATGTGTCTAGAATTAGGGTTTGAAAAGTTGTTGATTGAACGATGCTGGAAAGTGGAGAAATTCTCCACAAAAGAGCGCAAAAAATATTGCGCCGTAAATTGCACCTTTTCTGCACTACGAGATCTGTAGCGTTATGTTCAAAGACAAATATATAAAACCATAACGCTACAGATCTGCAGCTACATTAAATCATGTCATATCTGAATGACCCAGCTCATCCTCAAAGCAACCAATAACAGCAGTTAGACAAGATTTTTTTTATTTGGCAATATAAACAATGATCATATGGTTGTAGTACAACCAAACAACAGACAACAGTAGCAGACATACTCAACAAATGGATCTAACAATCACACACACTTCTCTAGATACGGCGTATTATAAAATCACCTAGCTTGAAAAAAAATATTTTCTTTCTTTAATAACACTATTTTACCAAATTTAATGACAGTTTGAAACTGATTCATAGTGTTTTAATTAATGAAGAGAATACATTAACAAATCCATAAAATCTACATGTACATGTACTAATATGACGAACAAATGTGGATTTATTTAAAAGAAGAGTTATCTTTCTTTTATAAAATAAATTTATAATGGAACTCTTATTTTCAAAAATCTTTGGTGAACATTAGAAAAAAAAATGATTTTTAACATTCATTAACATGATTCTGAACATGAACATAAATACACACAACAAATAATTCATGGATATTTCTTAACTATTCATCACAAGAATTTTTTTTTTACTCTATTCACATGACAGGGGTCTAATGTTTACCTCTACAGATGTCTTGAGCAAAGATCACTTTCACAATGGGTTGTGAAGCACAATCAAGAGCAATCTTGTAAAACAACTAAATCACACAGAGCAAAATAAAAATACAATTAAAATCTTTAACATTTGCCTATCATTCAAGGTGCATTGAAAACATAAACAAAAGCTGCAATTAGTAATGAGGTGATTAACTTTAGTGTAAATATTAATTATTATTTTCTATTATGCAACACTTTACGGTATTTCAATCCTCAGGTTCTGAAAATCTGCAACTGCTAAATTTGATTAAATTTTGAATATCAAGTAGACATATAATTTTTTCTTAATTATTAATACTCAAAATTTACACAACAGGTAGACACAGAGCACATAAAAAAGTTATTTGACAATTTCCTATAAAAGAAAAAAAACAGCCCCATGGATAACTATATGGTTACCAGAGTACTATACATCCAGACTTTTCTCTTAATCCTCACAGTGCACATACTTTCTGTGGGACATATTCTAAGAGGAAACATTTTTTCTACTCATCACAATATCTTTTAGAGACCCACTTTTTTTTATTAACAATTCAGACGTTGTACAAAGAGACACTCAAATGCCAAAAAAATTATTGATAAAAAATTTCAATGCAGTCACCTTTATTAACAACTGTGAACAATTAGAAAAAAATAAGGTCACTACAGATTTCCTTAACCAAATAGTTTACACAAAATATTTCATAGGAATGTGCCATTTCTAAATTAACAAAGTAGCAGAAAAAGAAGGGTGTATTAATTCATTCTATACCTTAAAAGCTGGGCATGGAAATAGCACCTTTTAAGATTGTCACATTCAGATTTTGAAAGATACCTAAATTTGTTGAGATAAAAACACCACAATTTACAGTTTTGAGAGAGACCCTGCATACCACCTATCGGATAACCTCTGAGCTAAGTATGATCTAATGCTCCTCCAACCTACAACAGCACATTTTCCAAGTTTTTCAAAATTTGACATTAAAATAATTTATATCAATTAAATGTTTTGAAAAAAATACTAAAGAGATGTAGAGATAACTTCAGAGCAAAAACGTATAAAGCCAGACAGATGGACAAAGTGATTACAGTATACTTTCAAACTTTGCTGGTATAAAAATACTAGCTCTTACATCCCATTTCTTGTAAAACACTAGCTACTCTAACTGCTGCAGGCATGGAATGTAATAATACATGTACAGTGTCACAACTGATGATATGAAAATATAAATTAAACTTAGCAATCCATGGCATAACATAATGCATTGTACCATATTATTTAGACGTGATGTTAAAACAAATACTTGCACATTTCAAACTACATTTTATCCATTTTATGGACATGTAGAGTACATTGGATACTTTCAGTAAACATATTGTACATGCAGTGTCATTCTGTGAAATACCTCACTAAAGCTCAAAATGAGGCTTGAAAATTAAAATGAGGCTGGAAATCTGAGATCTTAAAAACATACACTTGCACATTAGTTCACTCTAGCCATAAAATACTGTTAACCAACTATTATTTGCAACCATTTTTTTTTAAAGTAATGTGAAATTCATCCACAAATAAAAAATTTAACCTATGATGACTCTTTATACATAAATGCACAAAAAAATAAAATATTTGCAAGTATTAAAAAGTGTTGTAAACTCAGATATATCTTGCAAGCAAATAAAAGTTGATTTATAGTAAAAATGCACTCTGCTATGGATAATTCTTCAGTAGCATAATGGATCAACACAATCTTATATCTTCATGTGTTACATTCTAAACTTCTCATCATTTTTACAAACAAGAGGCCCATGGGCCACATCGCTCACCTGAGTAATGAGGATAGGGAAAAAGCAGAAATCAGTTTATACCCAGTAGTGGTCTAAACCAATCCTTAAAAGGGAGATGGTATGATTTAAAAATATTGAACAAACTTGAATCTTCAATAACTAAGGATGCATGCATATTTCTTTGATTACCTGTGGCTTTATTGCCCTTCATATTTTAACTTACATTGTGGCCCCGCCCTATACCCCAAGGGGTCATGACTTGAACAAAATTGAATCTACACTACCCAACAATGCTTCCATATGAACAGGACTAATCATAGCTTTGCTATTCTTGAAAAGAATTTTAAAGATTTTTTCTACATGTTTCTATGTAAAACTTGGATTCCATGTTGTGGCCCCGCCCTACCCCTTGGGGTCATGATTTGAACAAAAATTGAATGTCCACTGCCTGAGGATGCTTCTATAAAAATATGATCATTCATGCCTTTGCTTTTCTTGAGAAGAAGAATTTTTACTATATATTTCTATGTAACACTTTGATCGGCCATTGTGGCACCGCCCTACCCCCAGGGGTCATGATTTGAACAAACTTGAATCTACACTACCTGAGAATGCTTCCCTATAAGTTTCATATTTTCTGGCACAGTGTTTCTTGAGAAGAAGATTTTTAAAGAATTTTCCTATGTATTTCTATATAAATCTTTGATCGGCCATTTTGGCGCCCCCCTACCCCCAGGGGTCATGAGTTGAACAAACTTGAATCAACACTACCTGAGGATAATTCCCTATAAGTTTCATCTTTCCTGGCATTGTGGTTCTTGAGAAGAAGATTTTTAAAGAATCTCCAATGTATTTCTATGTAAATCTTTCATCGGCCATTTTGGCCCCACCCTACCCCCAGGGGTCATGATTTGAACAAACTTGAATCAACACTAGTTGAGGATACTTCCCTATAAGTTTCATCTTTCCTGGCACAGTGGTTCTTTAGAAGAAGATGTTTAAAGAATTTTCCTATGTATTTCTATGTAAAATTTTTGTCGGCCATTTTGGCCCCGCCCTTCCCCCAGGGGTCATGAGTTGAACAAACTTGAATCTACACTACCTGAGGATGCTTCCCTATAAGTTTCACCTTTCCTGGTACAGTAGTTCTTGAGAAGAAGATTTTTGAAACATACCATCAATTTTTTATAATTTCTTAATTATCTCCCCTTGAATAAGGGCGTGGCCCTTCATTTGAACAAACTTGAATCCCCTTTACCTAAGGATACTTTGTGCCAAGTTTGGTTGAAATTGGCCCAGTGGTTCTTGAGAAGAAGTCAAAAATGTGAAAAGTTTACAACGACGACGACGACAACAACGACAGACGCCGGACAAATTGTGATCAGAAAAGCTCACTTGAGCCTTTGGCTCAGGTGAGCTAAAAATAGAAAAACAACAACATATATTCTATATGAAAAATTTCTTTACAACATACACCATCTTGTGTAAACATTTCCTTGAGTTATTTTCCCTGGAACTCTGAACTGTTGGATCCTTCCATATTTCACTTCAGTCAAACACATTTGTCTATCAACCAGATTTAAAACAACAAACAAAACAAAACTTTTTTAACCTTGTCACAAATATCACAACAGTGTAACAATACTGATCAAAACAATCTGTAGTACAGATTTCTGGGTCTCCAATCAAAATCTGTATCTTGTACAGATTTCTGTGTCTCTCTTTTTTTATAATCACTACATTCATGTCCATTTAGCACACCATATATCAATCATTTTGTCCACTATTCATTTGTGAACAATCAGATACAACAGACATGTTAACTGTCTAAACTACGCATCACTTGACTGTGATTTTAACTGTCTAACATGATTCCTTCATAAAAATAAGTCTTCTTGCCAGATGACCAACAATCAAGAGTTGATGCGAGCATGCTACACTTTTTTGATGCAATATATTTATTCCAGAGAATATTTGAATGACACAAAGCATGTGTACATTTTACAGTTTGAAATTAACTCCTCGTTGCAAGGATTTGGAAATAAATTCGAAGCCAAAGATCGAGCGGAGCACTTGACTGAAGAAGTAATTATGACATCACAGTAATGTGACATCATAGGATTATGACATCACAGTAAGGCACCAAGCAAACAACATGGAGAGTACGACTGACATATTGCTTAGCACAGAAAAAAATAACCACAATCCAATGTTTCTCTGCTATCGCTTAGGATGCTTCTGACCCTCTGGAAAAAAAAATACAAAAGTTTATGCTTATTTCTTGGCTCTTACTTGTAAACCTGTACATTTCTTTTAATTTCATTTTTTTAATTTAATTGATAAATATTATTTTCATTTTGATAGTGAATAAACATTGAAAATATATTGCACCAACAATTATGATAAAAATATGAGAATGAGATTGGCATGATAAACAAGATTACTAAAATACTTGTAAAAAAACAATAAAAAAAAAAAAAACAAAAACAACAAGCAAACGATCCCATATCCCAAACACAACAAAACTGAAAAAAAAGGATATCAAATTTAAACTTGAATATCTAGAACACAGGCATCTCGAATACCTTTAATTTGATTAGTATAAATCACCAAAATCTTGGGAACCTTATTTTCGCGAGTTATTTATTTGGTATTTTTAAGTCGAAAAAGTTTCAATGAATGCCGATTGTTGTCCCATCCTTATAAAGATACACACGAGAAAACAAATTTCACGAGTAGACTGTCTCTTGTATTTTCACAAAAATTGAAGATCTCTTTAATATATTAAGTGATTCTTAAGGGGGATATCCTCATAGATATCCGACAACAGTGAAATACCCTTACTATAATCTTAGAGAGATCTCTATGTTGTTTACAAAATACTGTATACGTGGAAATTTTAGCGAGACACAAATTTAGCAATTTAGCTCACTAAAGAAACTATCACAAATAAAGCGCAACGATTTTTTTAGCGATATTCAATTTTAGCGATCTTGGCACCCTGGCTAATAATACATAATGTATCAAAATTAAATCCTAGCTAAAAATTCTGCTTATATGGTATAACATTTATGCAAGTTAAAGTACAAGTCCCCTTTTGAAAAATACACAAGTAATAAACAATCTTCCGCAATTAAGTTCTCTTACTGAACCGTATTTGTTTACAACAGTGATATACCTTCCAAATTAACAATAATGTTCACAACATCTCTATGGCCCTCTTACATTTTGAAAGCCTATATTCACAACAGAAATGTTTTACCTACGATCGACAACAACGATATACCCTCTAAAATTAACAGCTATGTTTCTTGGGCTTGCTTCGTCTTCGATTGACCAGACAACTCTCGAAGCCATCATAGGACTTTTTCCTTGATGGCCCGTGGTTGGAGGTCATGATTGGGAGGAGTTGCTGGACCCCCAGCACTGAATTAGAGAGGGGGGACAACCCACAGTAATCTACAATACAGGTCAAACACAGGTATCCCAAATAAAGAGGTCTTATCTACAGGTAAAACAAACTAAGATAAAATGGACAAAAAACATAAATAAAACAAATACATGTAGAAGCAGTGAATAAATATGAAATGAGAATGTTTTTAATGTTAAATGCAGAAAAAATGAGCTGAAAGTATTAACAGGCCAGTATGAGCTACAACAGTCACCTGAGGAACAAACAGGGTTTTTTTTTTCCTGAGACATCTTTTTCCCTTTATTCCCTAAAATTTTTTTTTTTTTTGTTTTTTCATACACAATTAATCCACAGTATATTCTAAAGTGCTATGATGTGATCAAAACTGAAACTTCATACAAAATGCAGCATTGCTCTTCATCAGATAAAAGTAAACCTTACAGATCCTACTATACGTATTTCCCCTTGCTTTTTAATTCCTAAGAATGATGTATGGCATGACTAATTTAATGACTGTATGTAAGGTAATGGATAGAAGAATATGACAGGAGCAATTAAAAAACAGGATTCTAAGAAAGGGGAGATAATCCATACCTGTGAATTTCTCCACGGCTTGTTTCCTCTCGACAGCATCATAATACCAAACAGTAATGGCGTATCTGTAATTATGTACCAAATCCATTAATTACTGTGACAATTGGACAAATAAACAAGAGGCCAAAGGGCCACATGGCTCATCTGAGTAATGTGGCTAAGAAAAAAGCATATTATTAGCATAAAGTATTGTAACTCGAATCTACACAGTAATGAATGTGTCTGTAATTACCACAACAAGCACAAAAATTACAGTTGTAACAGGAAAGAGATAATTTGATGGACCAGACCAGGAAAATTGTTACCCAAGCCCCCACAAACTCTGCTGAACAGTCAGAGCTATCTGGCCACCAGCAATCCAGCCTGCCTCCTTAAAGGTCTATGCCCTCAGAGACACCCACCCATGCTCTTCCCTTGCAGGTTTTTCACCTTTTCTTTTCAAAAGCAAGGTAATAAACCAAATATAACATGAAAAGATAAATGCAACAGACCAGACCAGAATTCATACCGTTTTAGACATGCCTTGAATTGTAATTTTTCTTTTAGACATGCCTTGGTAATGATATCAATTTTGCTGTTTTTCTTTTAGACATGCCTTGATACATGTAACCATATAGTACCAATTATGCTGTTTTTTTTTTAAAGCATGCCTTTGTAGTATAAATCATAATACCTTGTTTTGGTCGTTGGCATAACTTCGTGAGGATTTCGTCGATCTGACCAGAAAAACAGAAGTCGGTCAAAGTTGGGTTCGATGCTAGCGATGCGACTCTCATTCTCAGGGTAAATATGCAGTGTTCCACCATCACTCTATTTAGAGAGAGAGAAAAAATTCTAAAAAATAATGAAAGCAGAGAAAAGGTTGCTGTTGTACTTTCCCCAACAATTATAGTGCTAAGCTTACATTGTTATTTCACAAAGCCCTTCTTTATAAACAATTAAAAGTTTTAGCACAGTGTGACGTTACAATTCGAACAAACTAAAAGAGGAATTAGGCATGCCTTGTTTATGTTAAAAACTAGAAATACCCCCTCCCCCCCTTCCACAAAGTTTTCATGTTTATTTTCTCTGTCTATATTTTAGTCTTCAAAATTACTTCTTTTTTTCTCTCCTTTTTATAGCTATGGAATTTAAAAAAAAAATATTTTTATACAGTTTTTTTCATGTTACAGTATGTGCTTTTAATACAAAACAGTAGGGAAAAATTTATCTTAATTAATTTAGGTTTCTTTCAGTGATAGGAATACATTGCTGCACATTTAATTATATTATAGCTAAGGGTAAGCAAAATAAATTATTGGAAAAATTCTTAGATAACTAGCCTCTTCAAATGGATAAATTCAATATTAAAACATTTTTTTTCTTCAAAAATCAAAATTGTCATCACAACTTCTTAAATTTAATAATCATTGAAACATATGCTGCCCTTTGAATTAAATGTCAGGCAAATTTATTATATAGTTGTTATTAATTTTTTAGGTGGTTGAATTTATTTGTTAATAATCAGAATAGTTTACTTATATTAGTTTAAGATGAATATCCAAACAATTTTAATAACATATTAATTCTAATACCACCTAAAAATCCATAATTGTTTTTATATATGATCATGATGATCTATAATCAAGTTTTAAATACATGTAAATATCAAATAGACACTGAAGGCTACATTTCATTTAAGTTTTCAATATTGAACTTCTTCCTATAAGATTCATCAATCAAAATGCCACTTTATAAAAGTTACAATGCCTATTTTTCTTATCCTGAATTGGAAAACCATATACCCCACTGGTATCATATGATCAAGGATATTCTCCGAACGTCTTGTAAAACGTTCGACTCAAGTTGCACAATCCCACCAACTCCTGCAGCCACTAGCTGTTTGTATACATATATATTACTGTGATTTGAAGTGTTCCTTGTGACTCAAGTGCTTGCACTTGACTTTCTGGGAAATGGCATCGAAACTTAATTACTCAAATATCAAGTTTTTTAATCCTTTATATGAAGTATAAATTGATTACAAATATGTTATTTGTATATACAACAATGACATTTAATAAATATATATATATCCACTGAGTGTTAACTTTGATAATTATTCAACAAATCTGACATTCAAATTTTTAACAAGAAATTTAAAATACCATAATAATGAATACCATAAAATCCCTGATTTATTAATTCAAATACCACCAGATGTGCAGAGACGACAGTTTGAAAATGACGAACATTTGTCTCATGTATTGTTTGCAAATTAACAAATGCCATATTAAAAGCGATAATGATAACCATGCTTGCCTTATAATACCACACGTTTCCCCAATGGTACAATGTACCTTACGGATCTATGTGAAAAATACATAATAAACGATATTTAATAGCCTGAAAGTTTTATATTTACATTTTCAATGTCTTTGTGTGAGATAAAATTGCAAATAGTAAAAATAATTTTTTTCTACATAAATGTACTGTAGTCAATAAGCGTGATTAAAAAAATCACATGCGGAGTGGAACAAACAGAGACAGAAGCGGGACTGGTTAGCATGTGACTTTGCGGAATCTATCAACAGAATGTAAATATGAGGAATAACTGTCAGATTTTTTGGTTTCATGACAATGATCAAACGATTGACTTGTCTGGTAATTTTATGCATAAAGGCCTTCAGCTTTTATGCAAATTATCACACAAGCAAATCAAATGATCAAATCATGAAACAAAAATTTCGACAATTATTCCTTAAATAATTAAATGTTAAGAAATGTACAAAGTAAATAACATGCAGCTGGCTGTGTACAATGTATGAAAGATGCAATTACATTTTCATTCATTCTCAATTATCTCCCTTTGAAAGAGGATGTGGCCCTCCATTTGAACAAACCTGCATTCCCTTCAGCCAAGAATACTTTGTGGCAAGTGGTTCTTGAGGAGAAGCTGATATTGTGAAAAGTTTACAGCAAAAGATGACACAAGACGGAGTCTGTCACCAGACAATGTGCCTTTGACTCAGGTTGGCTAACAAGCTCCCGAGATTTCGTGTGTGTTTCCAGTGATTGATATTGTATGTTGTTTTAAGTCTCATTTGAGAATTTTTCACTCATATTAAGACGTCTTACTCAGCACTAAGCAGTGAGGGTTCTTTATCATTTTAACACCTACTCTGACAAAGGGCCTTGATTATTAAAGTCTCATCTGAAGGAACTGCAACTTTCACTTCATAGTGCTTAGCTCTTGGTGATGGAACAGTTGCCACCTACATTTTTTTATTATCAACTTATCAACTTAACCTCAAGGTGTTGGTCACCAGCTTTTCTTTGTTTTGTATTCTACATTGTTACTGGGACCCCTGCATACCTATAGGTATCCACCATACTGAACTGCGCTATACATTATGGCCACCAACTCCATTCCAAAGTTAAAAGAATCAATTAACCAGGAAGTGAATGAATCTCTCAAGGTAGACATCAGTAACCCAAAAAAAAGATTCCGCAATTCTTCACAATCTGATACGGATATAGAATATTCAGAGACATTTAACACATCTCAACAAGCAACAGCAGGGAAAGAAACCTCCATTGCAACATCCAATCCAGTGGAATCTTCCGAGAAACCAAAAATATCAGAAGAAAATGTTGCCATTTTTAGGACACTCCGAAAACTTCATATGAAACTCCAAAGAACTAAAAGCCATGCCGCGTACCTGAATAAATGCCAACAACAGGACCTCATACCAAAAACACTGAGAGCCAAAATTATTCCACAAATTCCAGATAGTAATGCTTTATTTCTCCTAAACTGGGAGGAAGCACACCTTAATTTTAGCCGCAGCCTCATCCGCTTACTTTATGAATATTGGAATACGAGAATTGATACGATTAATACACAGATACTTGATTTAACATCCCAGCTTAAAAACAAAGAAAACACTAACGAAATGGAACATATAAACAATCTATTAACTGCAATTCCAAACTTTATGAAGAAGAAGGAAGCCGATAAGGAATCAACAAAAGCATTCAAGGACAATAAAAAATCCCAGTAATTGTTAACTACACCCCCCCTTTTGTAATGGACGAATTGGAGCAAGGATCTGCATACCTTCACATTTCGTCTGAACGAATTTTATCATAAAACTACTTTGAACTCTTAAACATTCTAAAGAAACTAGCTTTGCTTATATTAATACATGTTAATTATTTTAATGTAATTTTACGAACAATTATTATCCTCCATAAAATAGGACTATTCAGAAGTAGAAATTTTTGAAACCAAACTACATTTTATGTTATCTCAACATTTATAGGAAAAGTAATGTAAATTTCATGCACTCTATATACATGTACAAACCATCCGTATTTTTTTCCATTGTGACGTCACAGTCTACCGAAACAGCTTGATGATGCAACAGAAGAATAACAATCCACACAATTTATGGACGATTTTATTAATCATAAAACAATAATGTTATTTACTGACTAAATCTTTAGTCAGAAAAACTTTAGAGGAAACGTAAATTGATTATATCTTGTATATAAGTACCATTGTTAAGCAAGTCCGCATATGTGCAAAACACTCCGCATTTCATTTTGTATATAGCAACGCCATCCGCATTTTTTGTATATATAGCAACGTCATCCGCATTTTTTACTTCAGTAGATAAATTTACATGCTTGATTGTTCTGATGACGACCGTCACAGGTCGAAACCGGTCAACAAAATAAATGTACTGCTGCATTCTCACGAAGTGTTGGTGATCTGTTTTTTACTTTTAGTTTATTATCAACTTAGGTCAGTAGAACACTAGGTGATTTATGCATAAATATCTTAATATGCAAATAAGAAGGCAATGGTGTATACCGTAAATCTGGAAATTTTTACATCGATTTTATTTTGCGAATTCGGGTCAAAATGCTGTTGATAAATTTTTACGTTTCAAAATTTTGCGAATGACCACTGCTTTGTTTACATTTTCTTATTGGTAATTTATTTTTAAGAAAAATATTTTTGCGAATGCAATGAACTCGCAAATTTGCTAAAAATTATCTACAGCAAAAATTTCCAGATTTACGGTATATTAAAGTACATAAAGAAACCCTCATAAAGTTTAGTTTACATGTATCATGTATAAAATCAAATTTTGATAATCCGAAACACTGTTGAAGTAGCAGAGAGTGCTAGATGTTTTGTTAGTTGACTAACCTTTGAGTCCCAGTCCTTGTTGAGGTAATAAATACAGGTGATGGCTCGGCCATCTTTGTTTGGATTATCCACGTGACGGAGGTATCCGGAGGAAGGACCCGGATAACAGGCCACCATAGCCTGCAAACAAAAAACAAGAGGCCCACGGGCCTTATAGGTCACCTGAGTATCATGCATCAACTTTCTAACCATTGAATGTGCTTTATGCCATGGCACTAACATTTTGAAAGGGGCACAATTGCTCATCATAACTGTACACTCAACATGCATAGTTCAGTTACTCAATACTCATAGGCAGAGTAGGGGTACACAAAAAAAGAATATAAATGCTTGGTAGTGTAAAGAAAAGGAACAGTGCCTTTCCCCTATTAATCTTTTACTTCACCCAATGAAGGGAAACAAGTTTTGCAAAGAGTACGTGGACTGGACTCACAAATTCAAATTTTTATAATGAACCTTGGGCGAGCATTAATGTCTTAGGTACTTATTCTAATCTTTAAATACAAAGTGCTAACTAGATTAATGCTTTTTTTTTTGGGGGGGGGGGGGGGGGGTTGTTAATAAACATCCCTCTGAAGATTTTTTTACTCATATGGAGAGGTCACCCCTTGCCAGTAGGAGGCTGCAAATTTATACCAAATACTTGGCACAAGCACCATTTAGCATTGAGGGATCTTTTTCATGCCTACACCTACTTCGACACAGGACCCAAGTTTTTAGGTCTCATCCATGTCCTGCAGTGGATTCAAACCTGTGACGTAAGGATCAGCTCTTTACTCCGCAACTCTTATAAAGAGCAGACGTACGCTCTAACCACTGCACCATGCAGCCATTTAAATTATTGAATACTAATAGAACAAAAAATATGGTATGTAAATAGGGTGAGACAAAGAAATACACAAAATATTTATAATTATACATAATTTATTAAGCTTACATTTACTCAACATATTATGATGTACATGTATGCATTTATAAGGTAACCATAACATCTGTTTGGAAAGGGTAATGATAAATTATATTAACAGCTAAAATAAAAGAGCATATCGATACATTTCCTTATTTTATAATAAATAGTACAATGATTTAATACTTGACCTCAATATTTGCACAATAGTCAGTTAAATGATAAAGAAATGTTTAATGACTACGTATTGCATTCAATCATTAAGATGTGTCCAATTAAGTATCCTGAAGAAATCAATGGTATGATTTTAATTACATTGTTCAATTTTTTTTTCAATGATTGCTCAACAACTGTCTGAAATTCCGTCATGAATTAATTGTACAATGTACAAAGCACTTTTCACTTTTTATCTAATAATACCATCTGAAAGAAGCAAGGTTTACCTCCCTTTACGGGCTGGCCATTGACCTGTTCTTTCCATTATACTTACCTTGAAAGTGTATGCTTTATGTTATAGGTAATTTCAGACAGTTAAAACATTAAATAGATTTCATGAAATCTTGAAATCATTTTTCTTAATTCAAATTTCAGTTCCCATTATTGATATTCATAGAATATGTTTTGGTGCATGCATGTGTTAATGCACGTACTTGAATTGGACCACTTAGCAATATGTGTACATAATTTATATAAGTAAATAATTGAACCATAAAATTATTCTAATCTTTATAAAATATTGTTAAAAATATCATGAACAAACAAATGCTATACATGGAAAGTACACAAACATACAAAGTAAATTCTGTTACAATAGCATTTTTAAAAAAATGTGCCCTCAAAAAAAAAAAAAAAAAAAAAAATGAAGATTACATAAAAATTTGCTGAATCCATTAAGCACTTTCATTAAGAATCTTATATCAAATATTTATATCACAAAAACTTATAACTTTAATATGCTATTTCATAATAGATGTATTTGAACTACTTTTTTAATCTTACATACCGAAATTGAAAAGAAAGATTAAAAGTAGTTCAAAGTCACCTGGATACATTTATCCAGACTTTTAATGTATATATACATGTATCAAATTTGAGAAGTAAATCTGAGGCATGCTCACTGTTCATTTTACATTTTAATAAAGAAAAAAAAAACAATAATAGATATATAGTTTTAAGCATTAATTTGCTTTTGTGCAATCATATATATACATTGAAAAAGGGGTGATTTACATTGAAGGAAGCTTAAATGAGCTTCAAAATGAATAATTGATTAAAGGTATTAAACAAAATTGATAATAATCCTACTTTAGTGATAAAAGTTTCTTAATACATGTTAAACTATTTAATGAAAATTAAGTATTTCAAATAAAAAAGTGTACGCTTCAAACAGTTTTCTTTATACAAGTACCGGTAAATGCTTTCATCAACAGAATTTGAGTATTGAAACGAAGCATGCATGGAGTTGCTTGATCCGGGTGAATGTGGTCGTTATATACAATCATGTATAAAAGTTATAAATTCAAAAATTGCCTTGAGGAATTCAGCAATTACAATTGTATGTCATTAAAAAATTCATTTAAAAAATTTAGAAATAAAATGAAAAATGAATTCTTACAATACACTGTATATGACTATTCACAACAGAATGAAGATACAAAATGTTTTTAACATGCAACATATATAATGGATTTTTTTTAAATAGAGTTATCTTTTCAGACGCAGAAAGTTGATTCAAAAGTTTTACATATAAGAATTGCAGCCAGTTTCTTCAAATGCACAAAGTTGATTCAATTAAGCTTTACATGTAACATGAACCAGTCTTTTGATATGCAGAATGTTGATTCTACAGTTTCCCATGGAAGATTGCACAGAAGCACAGAATGTTGATTTAATCATATAAAGCCAGTCTTCTTAACAGACAAGGAAAGTTGATTTAACACCGTTTTACATGTAATACCTATCGAGTTACTCTTCGTATCCAAGGGGACAACAGATCATTTAGCACAATGTCTTTCAGATATATACGCTATAATGTGATAATTACACAATGAAAGTATATAGTTATAATCTTCATAGAAATTGTATCATAAAATAATCAACTATTGAATAATAACTTATATGTATATTATGTATAATGTATAGACAGCATGTATAACTGCATGCATGTGCAAAGCACAAAAAAACTTTCTTGTTCTTTAATTAAATGTATCCATTAGTTAATAAATCAAAAGGAATTAACATAACCTTGATTTAAATGCCCATGAGATGAAATCGTATTAATTTGTTATACATATACACACTTTACCAAAGTTGACATACACTATACAAATTACATGCACAATAATATCAATTGTAAAAAAAAATCATTTACTGAGAAGTAAAGCTTTCTGCAACTTAATTACATTTCATATAACATATAATGCCACAGAGGCATGGTTACAAATTAGGAACCAGTTTTAAGTAACTGAAGTGTTTCTATCAATCGATAAGTTTTCAGTTGAAGCTTTTAAGATAATAATACATTTTAATATGACATTTTTTTACGGCAGATATTAGTATTTCAACATTCCATTCTATAACTGACACAAATGTTTCATTACTATACATATTAAGTTTACATGCAAATTTACATTTCATTATGTACAATATATTGCACTTCTCTCTCAAATATCAATTGCAAGTGACACTAATCTTGTACCAAAATTGTTGATGTAAAGTTTGTTAAACAATAAATATATATAAAAGATATACATGTACAGTTTTTTTTACTAGTTTGTTGAATTGAGTACAAAGTTCCATACATTAATAAACAAAATGATTTCATCTCATGGGAATTATGATTCTTGCCCTAATAACTGTCCATTAAGTAGATTCATGTAAAGTTAAATTATATACTTTTAAATTTTAAATTTAAACTGGATTAATGGAAGTTATTGGGACAAACAAAGTAGTTGATGAGTGGCAACCCTTGCTTTTGCTTAACCACTCTAGGCAGTTTGTAAACATTTAGTTTCCATCGGAAACTAAATATTTACATACTGCCTTGTTGTGCTCTAGCGGGTTTTATGATTACAGTATGAACTTAACTTGCAGCTCTATCATTAGAATAGCCTTGCTTAACTCATATTTGCTGCACAATAAACCATATTGTGATCGGACCAATAAGCCTGCAGAACATCTGTTTGTATATTTGTAAAGTTGGTAAAGATTAGGTCTAACTGTGTGTTGTTTTTTGTGGTTACCTTGTTTATTACTTGGTCACAATTAAAATTTTCTTTCATAAAATTTAGGAAATCTGCATTTTGGCCTGTATTTAAATCCAAATTAAAATCTCCCATTATCACTGTTCTTTCATTTTGGTTAACAAATGGAAGCAAATGGTTTTTCATGGTATCTTTTAAGTACTGAAGAGTACAAGATGGTTGTTTGTATAAAACTACACACTGAATTAGAGAATCCATTGACATAAAGGAAATTATAGAAAATTCTACAGATTTGGAAGTGAAAATGTTGTATGACACACACTGCAATTCAATCCTCAGATATATGACAATGCCATGATGTGATCTAACATTGGATGAATCAGCATCATTTCTGAACATTCTGAAACCTTCTAAAGTAAAGTCTTTCTCAGAGTCTAATTCACAAAGCCATGATTCAGCTATACCAATAACATCTGCAACTAAAACACTTGGGTCTGATTTTATGTCAAGGAAGTGTTTGTGTAGAGATCTGGCATTGTTGAACAAAAATTTGATATCTTTACATACTGAGTAAAGTGGTGTGTATGAGAGCTGCAACTTGTTTTCTCGCAATCTTTCCATCTCTTTATCAACCTTTTCATCTTTAGAAAGGCTCTTTTCATTAAAATCTAGTATGAATAGACCATCAAGTGACCTTACTCTTGAGAGTGCAACATAATGTATGTGAGGAATTTTGCGCTGCTTTGTCTGTGCTAAGCTGATAACTGCCTTTGAAAGAGTTGCTCCTTGCGCTTTGTGAATTGTTTTTCCAGCAGATGGTTGGAGTGGAAATTGAACTCTCTCATAGGTCTTCCTGTTATACACAAATGTTCTTTTGGCTTCAAATATGGGAGTCCATGCAGTGTTAATATTTGTACTGAACAAATGGCTGTACTGGTGTCTTCTTGAAATACCTATTTTTGAGTCTGAAAACAGAACCCATACTATAGCAGGTCTTAATTTTGAGTGTT